TTTAAAAAAAAAAAAAAAAAAAAAAAAAAAAAGCGTAAAAATTACGGCTGGAAATTTCTTTGTTCATTGCCAATGCCATTGGCACCACCGTTGGAAGGTCGTCTAATCCCTATTTTGAGTTTTTTCACAATTTGAGAATCAAAATCACTCTTATACTCTGCTCCATTTCAACTCTCTCCCTCTGTTTTCCGATCATCCGCCGGCTAATTCCCTGTTTCCGGCGCCGGGAACTCACACCCTTACGGTGGTGGACGAGAGGTATCCGGCGAACCCCACACCCCCCGCCCGACATGGCCGACAATCATCCTCGCCTCGATAACCTCCGCAGTACGGCCCAGCTTCTCAAAGAAGCTACCGCCTCCTTCACATCTAATCTCTTCACCTTCCTTTTCCTTTCCCTTCTCATCCTCTCCTTCCGCGTTGTCGTTGAAAATGGCACCCAATATGTCACCTCCTTCATCGACCGCGACCCTTCTCTTAAGGCTCTTCTTTCTCGCCTTGACATTGCAGGGGAGCAACGCCTCCTCCAGTCCCCCGAGGACCCTGCCATGTCTGGGGCTGTCGCCCATCGCCAACGTCGCCAGCGTCGCCGGCCTTTTCTGCATCTTACCCGCGTCGGAACCCTAGGTGACGATATCTTCTCCGGAGATGGGGATGACGAGCGTAGCCTCTTAGGGACCAATCGGAATCACCTACCTAACGCCAGTTTCGTGTTTTTTACCCAATTCAGTTCGATCTCAGGGTTCTCAGATCTGGTCGTTGACGATGGAATTAGGGTTTCGGAAGTTGTTCATCCGGGGGTGGGATTCAAGGATATGAGTTCATCTTTTGCTAATGATAAGGAAACTGCTGATGATCAGGAAGAAAACGATAGAAGACTTGGAGAGGAAAATGTTCATCAGGATATGGATAGGCTTGTAGATTTGCAATTTTTCGTCAAAGGATTGGAACTTGGTCGTCGGGACGCCGCAGCGCTGTTCTTCTTTGTGAGTTTTCTATCTGCTGCATATATCTGGGTGATGCTTGGCTTTCTTGTCACATATTCATGGGCTTCAGGCATTGTGTTCATCGCTGTTCTTAACGATCTAACACAGAGGTTCGGTTCATTTGTTGGTATGGTATGGCATGGATCAAAATTGGGGTTCAAGAGGCTTTCTGGGTTTATCTTGATGAGATGGGCAGTGCGAGATGCACTAACCCAGCTCCTTGGATTATGGTATTTTGGTGAAATTGAAGATCAATATTCATTTTTCAAGCTATTTGTTCGGTTGAAGTTGATGCCATTTTCCATAATGTCACCATGGATTCGTGGGTATGAGAAAGAGATCTCTGGGTTTCTGTTTGCTTGGTTTTTGCTAGATACTCTTGTTGCATTCATCTTTGCAGTGGATGCATGGGTTGTGATTGTGGATACAAGGCGGAGTGGTAGAGAGATCTTGACAGAAGGTTGTTATTTGATACTCACAATGCTAAACCAAGCTATTCAAATCAAGTGCTTGGAAGCCATTTGTTGTGGGTCTTTCATGAGATGGGCACTTGCAAGAGTTTGTGGGAAACATGTTGCCATGTTTTTTCAGTCAGTGGGAGAGGTGTATTTCATGGTGGTTTGGCTAATCTTCTACTTTGCTGCTAGGTGTAGGGATGCCAAAGTGCAGGGACAGAGGTTTGGGCGTAGAGAGCTGGAGGGCTTGATCGAGGGGGTTAGATAATGGTGAATCGATGGCTTGCTGGTAATTTTTCATTGCTCTGTGCTTGAATTTTTGCATTTGTAGGATCCACCGGTATTTGCTTCTGTACTTGTGTATATTTTACATCAAAATTACTTGATACCAATCAAATGCATCCCAGATGGATGCGTTGCTGACATCTGTTTTTAAGAATGGCATAAGAATCTGTGGTATGTAGATAGAACTGTAGGGGTCTGTTTTTAGTGTTTTACATGCCATTCTGCATGGGAGATTGAAGAACTATATATAGGCTTGACTATGGGAAAGAATTGAAGGTTTTGTGTGTTAGTGTGCCGGCATTAGTAGTATAACTGGTCATGATAATTGTCAAAGGAAGCTGTGTGCTACTAATTTACTTGTTGTGGGCTTGTATCTGAATCAGAAGAAGTAATCTACATGATCAATAATAGGATGGAAGCTTCCCTTTGTTGTTTTCTCTTTTTCTTTTCTGGGGGGTGGGGGACTTTGATCAATTATTGAACTGTTGTTTTTGGGATCATTGAAGACTATTGGACGAGGAAATCACTAAGCCAAGTCGGTTTTATTTATGGATCTATAATGTAACAGCTGAAGTTCATCGCTAGGAGATATTGTTCTTTTTAGGCTTTCTCTTTTCGGTTTTCCTTCAAGGTTTTTAAAATGCATCTATAAGGGAGAGGTTTTCACACCCACCCACACCTTTATAAAGAATTCCTCGTTTTCCTCCCCAACCGATGTGAGATCTTACAATCCACCCCTTGTGGGGCCTAGCGTTCTTGCTAGCACATCGCCTCATGTCCACCCTCCTTTGGAGTTCAACCTCATCATGTGCTCAGTGTCTAGTTCTTTGATCAATATTAGATTTGTTTGTTTGTTTTGGAACGGAGGAAAATGGAAATAGAAAACCATGGGATTGAATCGTAAATAGAAATTTTAAGATGAATCTAAATTCTTACCTACTTCGGGTTTTCAAGTGGAAGGTTCGAATTTGTATGAATCCACGCCGTCCAAGCCACATGTGGATGTACAAACTTTGGTGAGGGGCACAAAAAATGCTTGGTTTTTCTCAACCAACCATTTCTATTTCTATTTTTCGTTATGACTTTGATACATGGTTCACATTTTATCGTACATGAATATCGAGAAAAAGGTCAATAAATATTGAATAGAGGGTTGAGTGATGAATACTAAATAGACAGGGTTGAGTGGTGAATACTAAATAGAGGGTTGAGCGATGAATACTAAATAGAGGGTTGAGTGGTCTTATGACAAGGTTTGAGAATTGGTGAGTTTTCCTACTTTTTGTAATCTTGATTTGATTTTGTTGGATTGAAATTTCTTTATAGTATTTGAGACTTTCTTTCCGTAGTGTAAGTTACGTGAATTTCTTTGTAGTATTTGAGACTTTCTTAGCGTGGTGTATTTACAGTACCAAGAACATAAACCACTATCATATTTCAATTTAATGGCTAAAGAATCATCACTATGTATTTACTATTTAAGTATATAAAGTTTCTTCTTCAATTTCAACCAAATTTTTAATCACTTACGTCAATTAAAGGTGTTTTTATCAAATAATGTTATTTTTGCTGAAAAATATAAATTTAACTTAATTCAGCAATATCATAACACATTTTTACATTGTTCGTTTTTTCCTTGTTACAATTAGTGAGTGAACCGAAGGTAAAAATGAAACGTTCAGTGAAAATTAATCCAGAAGTAAAAAAAATTTCATGAATGAATGTTACTATCTAAAAGTCCTCATAGATTATAACAAATAAAAAATAATTACATCACCCACATTATCGATCACAATTTCAGTGGCCCTTTCACATTCAGACATTCAGACAGCTAATTTCATTTGCTTTTAAAAAATTCATTTCAACTATAAATAATTTTGAGAAATGTACCTTAAAAAACCATCCCATGTATGGTGGGGCGTCACCGCTGCACTGCAAGAGCCACGATTTACTTCGTAATCCATTCATGTAGCCTGAAAAAGAATCTTAAGAAACATATATGATGATTTGAGAGTTAAAAAACATTGGGATACCAATCACATGAAACCGAATAACGCAAGTACAAAAGGAGCAACTCAAAAGCAATTTAATACCTCAGCAACAATAAGCACTATTCCTAGGAGAATGACCCATTGCAAGATTAAGGCATTCACCAAGAAGTATCATTTTCTATCTTTATACCAAACAAAAACTTGTTACCCTAGAACATTTTTGAGTTTTAACATAATCAACACAAGCAGGGGCCATTTCCCCTTTTTCCTTTATGTGCTGAAGCTTGTAAAATAGTCAACAATAGTCATGGTTTAGTCTCGAGTTGCTGATAAACCTCGGATCTTAACATCGTAATATACTTCTTCAACTCTTCGCAAGTCATACTTCATGCCTGATTCAATATGAGACAATGAAATGACTGTGAAAATCATGGGAAGAAGAAAATCATATCAAGGATTTGGATGCAGGGTGAAACCCCACGCTTTGACTGTGGAAACTGGAGCAGAAAAGAAGCCATGGAAGCCCCCCAAAAGTGATAATGTATCCCAAAAAGTGAGTGGTTGAAATGAAAATGAAGTGTATATATATAAAAAAGTAGAGACTGTACCATCAAATTTTTTGCGGAGAAAATCATTGCGAAGATTAAGCATACGGAAGGCTGCATGAAGATCAGTAAAAAATTTGAGCACCTTTCTTGGACAATCATAGTCTCCAACTGTCACTTGGTTGACAACATATCGTGGCTACAAAACAGTTGACATCAAATTTATTACAAGTTATAAATGAGAGAACTCTGCATGATAGATACATTCTAATTCAAATGGAATATTTCCTCAACTATGATGTAAAATTTTTGTATTCCTGATATGTTCATTTTCTTCAAGTTACAATATCAACGGCAATTCTAACAATTCTCACCAATTCATTGGACATGAAACATATTCCTGAAAATTAAACAAAATATCCAAATTAGCAACTCAGCGTGGTTAAAAATGTTGAATTGTAGGACAAACAGCATACTGATTCAGAACTGCAGAGTACGGTTGAATGAAAAGCAGACACAAAAAACTCTTAGCATAAACTACCAATTTCATCAGCAAACCAACATAGTTCTGGGTGTGGTACTCTTTAGTTAAATCAATCACATCACAGATTCTCCTATGCCATGTCTCCAAATCATTGGAGCTTAGATTCTTATCTGATAAGTATCCATGCTCTCCATTAAGAATAAAAGTTCCTGTTGGAACGGCGTTAACAAACCATTAGCATACTAGGTCTTTTATCAGTGGGAAGATCATGTGCACCCTTTTTTTATTGTCTTGAATCTAGGTAAACATATCACCACCAAGAAGGAAAGAAAGAAAGAAAAAAGGCAATGTACAAAAGAAATGACTGGTTCTTTCCTTCCAAGAAATACCACAGGTCACAAAACTACAAATACACAGAAAGCAAAAGTAACCATTGTTTACAAATCACAAGGTATGCTCCATGGCAATTAGGTCCTTGCTCACCTAAGGGCCTACGCCAAAAAAGCATTGTATTTGGAAAATAAAAAGTTACAAACAAGTTTTTATGTGATAAAAACACTTTGGATTTTCGAGAAATAATGAATGAAAAATAAATTTTAATCAAAAGTACTAAGAAATGTGGAACTTTCCTTTACTTCGTAGAGGTGCAAAAGCAATAAAAGGAAACTAAAAGACAAAATAAAGCACACCATTTAAATGAAAGTGCTTGCCAGAGAACACCGTCAGGTGCAGTACTTCACCCCTGCTAAAGTAATTGCCTAGGCTTGTCTAGTAAACATTGAAAACCAATATAGTCTCTATTCTCTACGTCTCATTGAAACTTGAAGTAAGAAATATGAAATATGAAATTATTGAAAACTCACCAATAAGATAGTCTTCAACATCCAAAGTGAAATCAGATTCATTTACTGCAATTAGACAAAAAATAAAATGAGTTGATTTCCAACTTCGTCATTTCGGAGTAGATATTAAGTAGGTAGGCATAGCATAGATAAAATTATGAGATCACGAACAATTCAATAACAGCAAAAGTGATGCATAAGATTACAGTTCCCTCTGTTCCATACTGGTGAAAACATTGATACAGAGAACACTTATTTGGGCAAAGTATGAATTAGAATCTAATTTAAAAGTAAATAAATGTTGAGGTGAATTACAAGGTAAGGTTAAAAAAGTACGGTTACATTTCAATATTGAGGTGAAATAGCAAAAAAGTAGTAAAAATGCATGACACAGACAGCATTTTTTGGGACAAAAGTAAGGGTGCTCTTCTTCAGCAAGTTGCTTTCAGTTTCCACTTCCAGATAGGCTACGAAATCTGGGCAAAGGCATTATGGTTGTTTTGGGTGAGAAAATAAACAATTTCTTAATTATTAGAATTCGTTGAGGAAATCTGGGCAAAGGCATGATGTTAGATTATTCAAAGATGACACAACTATGGAAGATTATTGGGAGGAATAGTCCCACATTGGCTAATTAAGGGGAAGATCATGGGTCTAAAAGTAAGGAACACGATCTCCATTGGTGCGAAACCTTTTGGGCAAACAAAAAATAAAGTCATGGGAGTTTATGCTCAAAGTGGACAATATCGTACCAATGCAAAGGTCCGTGATTCTTAACATGGTATAACAATCATGCCTTTAACTTAGTCATGTCAATAGGATCCTCAAGTGTAGAAACAATCAAAATGGACAATATTGTACCAATGCAAAGGTTCGTGATTCTTACATGGTATCACAGTCATGCCTTTAACTTAGCCATGTCAACAGAATCCTCAAGTGTCAAACAAAGAAGTTGCAATCCTCGAAGATGTAGTCAAAGTGACTCGAGTGTTGAACAAAGGGTGTATTTTATTCGAGGGCTTCGGAGAAGGAGGCCTCAAGGGAGGCTCTATGGTGTACTTTGTTCGAGGGGAGAATTGTTGAGGATTATTGGGAGGAGTAGTCCCTTGGTTAATTAAAGG